CGTCATTAATTAATTTTACTTATTTTAAAACTGCTTTAGAAACATTGTTTAGTAAAATTACAACACATACTTTAATTCTTATTCTCTTTACAATAAACTTTTGTCACCATAAAATTTGCTCACAATTTTTGATAGCATTGAACATTCTTCTGGTCAACTAATGACAGTTAACTTACCGGAAATTAATAATTTGACAACTTCAGTAATTAAGACAGGTAATCAAACTAGAATATTAGAAAGTTTTACAAAATAAAATGTAAAATATTACGCAAATAACAAATAAATCTCAAAAACAAAGAATCATATGAAATCAGATTTAACAAGAAATGCAGAAAGACAATAAACTCAAACCAGTCTCTCTCTCTCTCACTTTCTCTCTCTCTTTATATACATATATATATATATATATATATATATATATATATATATAAGGGTCCAGGTTAGGACCAAGGAAGAACAACACGAACAGAAGAGTAGAAATAACGAAAGTATATTAGACGAAATTATAATACAATATGTGGAAGGTGTTAGTATGACGGTCAGTCTGGTTTTGAGTGAACTACTATCGGCTCGACTCGATTCGGTATCTAGCCACGCTCCCACGAGGGTTGCATGTGGCACAAGGCCGAGTTTAACGTGGGTTTCCCGAGCCCGTAGGCTCGGCCAAAAAATGCCCGTAGAACCCATATAAACGGGATCGTGTTGGTCAACCTCCCCGAATGAGACTCTGCCCTTCAGCGGAGCCTCGTCCGTGTTCCTCTCTGCTCAGAGGCGTAGTATACATAGTGTTAGAAAGAGAGGCGTAGTATATATAGTGTTAGGGAAGAGTTCATTCTGTACTTATAGGTAAGGACACATGACAATATATATATATATATATATATATATATATATATATATATATATATATATATATATATGTGTGTGTGTGTGTGTGTGTGAGTAAGTCTGTAAAATAGTTTGGTTGATAAAACAAAGAGAAACGAAGGGGAACCAATAAAACCGGTGCGATAATCATTTATTAAGTTAAATATTAACCATATGACAAAAATTCAGCACCGACGAGAGAAAGGTTTTTTTTAGTTCGTAACTTTCGTACACGCTTGCGTCATTCATCAACTGTTCGAGGAAAAAAAATCAAATGGGAATTATTCCCCGACAGATGTTTTTTTTTTATAGATGGTGGATTTTCGAGTGGAAGTTGTATTATTAGAAAAAAAAACAGATCTCTGTCTGATTTTCCGATATGCCGGGGAGGGGAAAAAACGCTTCGCCTGTAGCAAGTTGTAGCAAAAATTGTCACACCCCGTGGTCGAGTGTTGAAAGACGAAACTATTTTTAGAATATGATGTGATAAAAAGGAAGAAAGAGAGAGGGAAAGACAGAAAAAAAGGAAAAGTGATGTAAAAGGTAAATATAAAATATTATAAAATAAAATAAAATGAAAAAAAGTGAACAAAATATATATAACATTTTGGAAACCTATTATTATGAAAAGGAGTGTAATAAATAAAGGAAAAACTGAGAAGAACAAGCGTGTACGTGTATATATGCACATACGTACACATGTACTATGTGTAAATATACAAAAGCCACCACACAAACATATGGAGCGGCAAACACTTATATATATAAATACACCTACTAAATTTATATGTATCTTCACTAATCATCTCCTCTCCTTTTATAATCTTACATATAAAAGAGCAATAGTGAACTATTCTTTCATTGTATGAACAGAGTGACTGGAAAGTAGCCTTCAGTGTACATGGCAATCCTTCTATTGCTGACTAGTATACGTCATGAGGCAATTCTTAGGCGGTGGAACGTAAAATATATTAGGTAGGTTGGATGTTAAAATTTATGGGAAAAGCTAAAGGACTTATGCGTCCGAGGAGGTATATATATATATATATATATATATATATATATATGAGTGTGTGTGTGTGTCGTGTGTGCCTGTGTGTGAGTTTATAAATATATATATATATATATATGTGTGTGTGTGTTTGTTTATATATATATATATATATATATATATATATATATATATATATTTGTCTCTGTATATCAGTTTATACATATACATTTATTTATTAAAGACATTTTATTATGTTTAACGTTGTTATTTTATAGATACAAGTATTTAAGCAAATGCTCTGTTTATGATAAACAGTATTAAATAACATTTACCGGCCTGAATGTCCGAGAAATTTTCATAGAAAATATTCGTTCTTTGACAGGATTCGAACCTGCATCCTATACGGAACCGTCATATACGCTGACGTGCCTTACCGCTAGGCTACAAAGAAGCGTTCGGTGGACAAGGTCGAATTTACTGCTTATAAACTCCAATTTTCAATGAATCTCGTACATTCATAACTGCTCTGGCGTATCGAAATGTAAACAAATGACGTCATATATTAAGAAATGGACAAGGTCCGACAATTTATTTATTAAAGACATTTTATTATGTTTAACGTTGTTATTTTATAGATACAAGTATTTAAGCAAATGCTCTGTTTATGATAAACAGTATTAAATAACATTTACCGGCCTGAATGTCCGAGAAATTTACATTTATGTATGTATATATATATATGTATAGCTAAGTACGTGTGTGTATACACAAACATAAATATATATATACATATATATATATATATATATAAATATAATATATATATATATATATATATATATATATATATGTATTTATGTATATGAAGAAATATAGTTGCAAGTTGAGCGATATTTATGGCATAAAATGCTCAGTATCAGATATAAAATGTATGTAAATATAAAATTGAACACTGAATTCAGCATTCAGAGGCCACAGACTGTTTTCATGCTAAACGCAATCGTCGGCCTGACGATTGCGTCTAGTATGAAAACAGTCTATGTCCTCTGAATGGTGACTTCAGTGTTCGCTTTATATTTAGATATATGTGTGTGCGTTTATTTTTTTTCTTTTTAATGTGTAATTATAATTTCTTCTTTAATGACAGCCACTGATATCAGCAGAAAATACTTGCTAATCCATGAAGCGTATCCTGCATATTTATAGAATAATTTTAGCATACAACTACACCGTTTAACCGTACATCAGTATCGACTCGAACACACAGAATAGCCATATTCGTATCCCAGATGAATGTAATATCAAGCTTTCATATTTACGGTGATCATAGGTTGCTTGAAATTGATCTTTATCTTCTTTAGCCTCGCTAACGGCATATTTCGAACTAACATGAGATAATTGCGTCCAAAGTGCACGCCCTTTTGGCTGCCACATTTTCATTTATCCTCCTTTCATATGTAACACTTCAGTTTGAACATCTGGAGTGCTACACGGATTGTCGTTGACTCATGTTTGCAAAGCTGCTGATCCGATATTCTGATTGCATTATAAGGATTATTGTGTGATTTCTTCTGCTTCGGAAATTCTTGCTTTAACTCTTTCTTGAAATGGATGGGGAACAGAAATAAGATATTCCCTGAAATCAGTTGGCACACTAAGATCATAAAATTCAGATCCGTTATGAAACCCATTCTTACGTATGTCTTTTCTCAATACTATCGATTGGTTCCGTCTCAAATTTAGGGATATATTTTTCGCCAGGTTGTACAAAATCTAAATAAATGATAATTACTGTAAAAATCTTGTTGTATGGCTCGTAAATTCTCAATTTCTAACAGGGAATGCTAATTGCATACAGGACTAGCCTAGCAGAAGAGCCATCCCAAACAGATTCTGTTGTGTGATATTTATTTTAATTATGAGACGACATTAATAATCACTCTTTGCTCAATAGTAAATCCAGCATTGCTGACAAAACTAACCAGGCAGTTGGTCTAAAAAAGGACATCCAATCTGTATTTGACTGGGACTGGTAGTAGCTTGTAAACTTTAATGCCTTTAAAACTGAACTGGTCTCATTTACCCACCATAGTAAAACCTCCTTGCATCCTATCAAATTAGCTGATGTCCCACACCACGAGATCGTCACTCTGTGCCTGCTTGGTCTCACACTTTCTACTGTCCTGAGATGGAACAACAAAATTGAATCAATAGCAACATCTACAGCAAGGAAAGTTGGTTCTTTGTGTCATACTATAAGTTTTTTCTCGCCTGAGACCATCCTTCGAATCTACAAATCTACCAATCGTCTCTGCATTCAATACAGTTGCCATATATGGTCTGGTAACTCCGCTGTTCATATCTCGCGGGCCTAGATCAAATCCAGAGTCGGATATGCAATGTTATGTGTCCTGATATGGCGTCTTATCTACAGTCACTTTTTTACAGACGATCTATGGATCCCTTGTTTTTTTCTACAAATATTTTCATGGAAACTTTTCAGACGAGTTACTTTAAGTGGTACCTCATCTTCATGAATTTAAGCGTGGTACAACTTTGGCATCTCGGTCCCTCTGTTTCACTGTCGAAACAGTTAAATGTAACCACCTCTTCTACTCCAACATCTTCTTCTCTTGCACTTCCCGAAAGTGGAATTCCCTTCCTCTTACTTGCTTCCCTGAGAGCATTAATTTTCAAATATTCAAATGTAATATCAATTGATATCTTCTTATGCCTTACTCCTGGTCCTTGTCCTTATCTATATACTTTCCTCAAACACCCCTATTTACTCTTGCTCTCTCTCTATGTAACCCCTTCCGTGCTAGTGGCACTATAGCCTTGCTTGGGATAAAATGCTTATAAAAGAAGATGAGATTGTTTTTGTTTTTCTACACAAACCGATATCGTCGCTCTCTTCTAAAATCTACTTAATTCACAAAGACCAGATTGAATATTTTATATTTTTATAATGACAAAACTTCCAATTTAATACCACAGCTATAAGATCGACTACAACCGATCGATTCTTTAATTGTCTATTTGCGAAAACTGCATTTGACAGTTCCTTAAAACTTTGACAGTCTTTCCTAAATCGTCAAGAGAGTTCAGAAATATTACAGAACATCTTGAGATATGTGCAATGCATATCAATGTAAATTCTTTACTATAACTTAATTAACAATGACAGTTATTTTAAGTCGTTCATATCTTTCCATAATCATTTCATATCTTACTATGGAAGTCAATATTTAGACAAAAAAATGCTATTGCCAAAACGACGTTGGTAATTTTTAAAGGTATTATATTTAGATGCAAATTATAACATTTGAGTTCCAGTTTATAATGTACGGTTGGCTTCACTTTCGTAAAACTGTTTTTTTTTTCGAAAGGCATGGTTCTGTCTCTTTTCCTACACACAGTTATTTATAAAATAGTAGGGTAAACACTACTTCCTAGGATTCGAGTGCTATTCTATAGAGAATCCAATGGAAATTGATTCCATCGTAGTTGCCATGAATATATGTAAGAGTCAAGGCCTTCTGTATCCGAACAAACACAGCCTTTAAAAAAAAATGCTGTAGATGTTTTTGTTTTCATTATATAAAAATATATATATATATATATATATATATATATATATATATATATATATCATCAATACAAACACGCAAACATAGACACACAAAACACACACACACACACACACACACACATATATATATATATATATATATATATATAATATATATATGTAACAATGGACTTTGAAGTCAACACGCAAAGGCGAAAGTGTTTATGCAAAACGGAATCGATGGACTTTTATGTCTACATACGCTCTATCCCTGATATTGAGCACTTTAAGCCATGATTAAGGCATACCTTAAAAACGTATTTTATCATATATATATATATATATATATATATATATATATATATATATATATATAATAATAATAATAATAATAATAATAATAATAATAATATAAGTATAAGTAATTATACTCGTCCTGAAATCCTAATGTGTTTTGTCTTGTAAATGAACAAACCAATACCCTCGGAAAAATATGGAATAAAAAAAAGAAAGAACTAAGAACATGTAATTCAGGCGAAAAAGAAACAAAAAGAAAAATCCAACACGAAAAACCTCTAAAACAAAAATAACTAAGCAAAGTGTTGATGATCCGCGTAGGTGAAACCTAGGTAGGTTTGCCTGTCTCTTTCGGTATATACTAGCAGCATGACCAGGCGTTGCCCGAATTTGATTCAAAAATCGTACCACTCATACAGCAATCGCTATCATTTGATTTAAATATTTTTGCCCTTCCTTCCCTTTAAAGAGGTGCCCTTTGCTGTGCTGATGATGCTACATGCCTTACTTCTTGCCTATCTCACACTGCCAATTTTTTCTAAGCTCTATACTAAACATTAAATTTGTTACAAAAAAAGAACTAAACAAAATCAACACAAAACGATCAGTTTTAAAAAAGGACTCGTAACTGGAAAAACCGAATGAAAAAAGAATGTTAACAACAAATACTTTTTCACACCCAACCCAGTTCAGCGGAATCAGAATCAACGTTGAGTTTAAGCAAAAGAATGTGCCAAGTGGAGTAAAGTGCCAGGCAGATTTAAATTTTTCCCACTTGTGACGAATGCAGCTATTGATTTTTTTTGCATGCTAGCATGCTAGTTAACATTCGTGTCAGCCAGTTGTTGGCTCTCACGCTGGCCAAGAGAATATTCCTGCCTATTCGTGGCAGTCGGCTATTGGCTCTCACTCTGGCCAGTACAAAATGGCAGCAAACTACATGAAAACTGCCGTAGAATCATGAAAAAAATCGATTATTTCCAATATCGATGGGAGTTGGGAAATGCAAAGTCGGTCTTGGAACATGTGAATGTAATTTTTGATGCAAATCCGTCGAAAATTGCGGCCATACATTCGTTACACACAGACACACATCCTTTCTTTTATAGATAGAAATACATACAAACACACACACACACACATATATATATATATATATATATATATATATATATATATATATATATATATATATATATATATATATATATATATACGACTATGTTCTGAAACATAGCATACCTTATAACAATATCGTATATATATATATATATATATATATATATATATATATATAATTTAATTTTATTTTTATTCTAACTTTTTATTGTTTTTAGTGCTTAAAAGTAATTACAAATGATACAAACTACAGAATTATATATCGTATGGATGTAATATCTAGTATAGATTTATAAATGCTTCCATATATATATGAAATTCTTCACAATTGAAAATTTCATTATACATCGTATAGTATCGTTTTTTCATGACCGTTTTTGTTTATAGATTATTTGAAGATAATTTAGTGCATCGAAAGTATTTGATGTTTTTTTATATTATCTTCTAACCTCATATATGTCTCATGTAATGTCAGATAATAAGACGTTTGTCGGATTAACAGCGTAACGTGTTGGCGGCCATTTCATTAATCTGATGATTTTGAAAGTATGTTGATGCTATAATTAAATAGTATTTTTCAGCGATAGTAAATTACGAATTTAATATGGTTAATGCCTACTAGTAAGCTTTTAGAAAATGAGAAAGAGCATTGCCTTGTGTAAATATTTTCAATAGTTTAATGCTTCTAGTGTGGAACTTATAAAACTGAAGGGCTTAGAATACTTCAGAGAATATAAAAAATTATCATCTTTGAAGAGAAGTAAATTCTTCAGATTAACAAAATGATCCCTATAGCATTCGACCAGTACTCTTGTTTTCTAAGTTCTGTTGATTGGCCATTTTGATAAAAAACTCACCGTTGCAGATTTTGTATAATTTGTTTGGGGGATGAATAACGACCTGGCGAGGTTACTAAAACATTGAATCAACTAATCACCTAACCTATACTGACAGCAAATTCCAACTTTGTAACAGGTTAAATTTGTGATTTACTATCGCTGAAAAATTCTTCACCATTCAATTATAACATCTAAATTATTTTTGTCCACAACAAAAAATATGTATAAAAGGCCTATAATTTATGTCTGTATTTTTCTTTTATGAAGAATAACTAATTTAGTTGAGAAAAATGCGACCTATCTCAAAGGGGCTTAGAATCGCTTTTCTATTAATTTTTCAATGGAAATTATTCGCAACGATACAAAATAACATTTTGTGGGCGATGTAGATAGTCGACAAAAGGATTTTCGCCAACTCTATTTCACTCATCAGAAACGTTGTAGTAATGTAATTGGGATAAATATCTATATTTTATTCTACAAATTGCAAAAATCACCTTATTTTATTGAATATACATGCCGGGCTTTGTGATGTTTTCGTAAAGATTACAGATCAATTGTTTTTATATTTTTAACAAATGTTCGCAAGGTTAACTCTGATTAGAAATAGAAACGACAAGCATTCTTTTTTGTTAATACTTGTATTATTTTAGTAGCATTTATTTCTCCCAAAACAACTTTTCAAAAAGAACTAAAGCCAGTTATTTTTAACGCGTTTTAAAATTTACTGCAATGTTCATAGCATATAATATTTTATTTTAATCCCGCTATCTTTTTTTTCTACCTAACCATCTATCTCATTCTGTTCCTTAGATCAATAAGATACAGAAATCAATCTATCAATTTACCTACCTACCTACATATCTATCTATCTATCTATCTATCTATCTATCTATCTATCTATCTATCTATCTATCTAAGTCTCTTCATATGTAACTTATGCGGTCTATTCATCTATCTATCTCTCTACACTTCCCAACACTAAATATTCTTTTGTTTCCCTATTGTTTTTATGTCATTCCTTGTTCATTTTTCTTTTCGCTAATCCTGCTTTTTATTAAATCTTAAAGGAAAGTCATGTCACCGCTTCTTGTTTCGCTTGTCAGATTTTATCAGAAACACGCATCAGATGTGTTTTGTATATTCTTACCATCCATGATTTTTTTCCACATTCTAGCGGCTTCTTTCCCCATTCATTCCCACTTTTTACATGTCAGCAGTAGATATTTTTTCGCACAAAATCCTATTTTTATATAGCTCAGATTTTCTATGCATTCATCAATGAATTAATGATGCAATCAATCAATGTATCTACTTCCTAATCTTCATCATTTTTTATTCAGCCAATTTATGTGAATGCTGAAAATGTTAGGTTTTTCTCAAGTACGTCGATATTTACGTCTATCTGTCTATCTTTCTCTCTCACTCACTTTTCTATCTATCTATCTATCTATCTATCTATCTATCTATCTATCTATTTATCTTTTTCATTCTGCTCCTTTATATATATATATATATATATTTATACGTAAATACATCGATTGATCTATCTATCTATCTATCTATCTATCTATCTATCTATCTATCTATCTATATATATATATATATATATATATATATATATTCCTTAGATAGAAACATACATACAAAAGTACATAGATGGATCTATCTATCTATCTATCTATCTATCTATCTATCTATCTATCTATCTATCTCTTTCTCTCTCTCTCTCTCTCTCTCTCTCTCTCTCTCTCTATCTATCTATCTATCTACCTATCTGTCTGTCTGTCTGTTTTTCTATCTTTTTATATATCTATATATCTATGTGCGTGACCCAGGCATATCCGATTGAGAGCTACTCTATTTCGCATCAATTCTTCTTAAAAATTTCAATAATTTTGCAAATTTAGAGCCCACAGATACAACAAAAAATCTATCTCGAAGGATATAATGGCGGTTGCATGTATAAAACATGATAACAATTTTCCTTTTCTTTAAGTCATTAGGTAGGCGTTTTGAGGTCGGAATAAAAGAAACATCGAGGTGTGTTTTTATATTAAAACGATAAATGTTATGTTTAGTGGGTTGGCGTCTTCCTGTCGGAATTAAAGAACAAGGCGGCATTTTTTTTGTTGGGGGGGGGTTAAATTAGCCTATATGTACTGGACTCGAAAGAAACCATTCCTGATCAGGTCACAATTACTTTCCATCGGATCACTACAAACACGCATGTATATATATATATATATATATATATATATATATATATATATATATATATATATATGTATGTATAAATACAAAAGTAGATAT